CATGGCAGGGCAGACAGGAAGCAGCAGCTGCATGGAGCCTCCCTTTCCCTCTCATCCCATCCAGGCTACAGGCCAGATGGTCGGTGCCACCCACACCCAGGGTGGCCTTCCCGCTGTCCACACCCAGAACTATGCTGAACCAATCAGTAACTAATTTACGTATCACACACCCTTAATCCCAGTATTACATACATTAGATTGAGCCACCTTTGAAAAGCCCCACCCTTGAGCACATGAGGCTTTGGGGGAGATATAGACAGAAGGAATAACAACTGGTGACTTTAATAAGATCTTTAATGGACTCCTGGGGATAAAGCCAGGTTGGAGGGGCTTTCTCGCTGGTGACCTGTGAGGTTAATTCTTATAGGGGTTAAGGCCAGCTGCATGTGCTAGGGACCCCAGAGGACACTGACCTCACCGGGGCAGGGCTGCATTAAGGAGAGGCAGGAATAATGGTGTGGTGGACCCTTGATATAAGAACGTCAAGGATTTTATGATTCTTTTGTGCTTTTCCTCATGGTGACAAGGTAGCTGTTGTCATTGTCATCACATCTACATTTCACTTGGAAGGGAGGGAGGGAGGCAGGCTGGCGAGATGGGGGAAAAACAGATGCACTTGAGGCTGCTTCTCTTTGAGAAGCGCTGCAGACGTGTCCACCCACATTTTTGGGTAGTGTCCCATGGCTGGCCAGTTCTCCCAGCCAGACCGTGAGAACAGGGAACTGTGGGTTGTTGTCCTTTATCCTCTGGGAGGACCTGGTTCTAGGACCCCCCCCGGATGTCAAAATCCAAGCACGCTCCAGTCCCCTCTGTGAGTACGAAGTCCTCCATCTACTTCAAATCCCTGCTGGTTACTCACCACGTCTAACACACTGTTCTGGGAGCAGTGACAAGAGGAAGAAGTCTACGTATTTGGTACAGATGCCGAATTTGTCTGAATATTTTCAGTCCTCAGTTCTGCGGATATGAAGGGTGAATGTGCTTAACTGGGCCTATTTCCAGCTCCCTGTACCCGCAATGAGAGAACCTTGCTGGACATGGAACGGGGAATGGAGTTGGATTGGATACAACTGTGTCTGCCTGATGGAAACAGGAAGCCAATTGTGTGTGTGTGTGTGTGTGTGTGTGTGTGTGTGTGTGTGTGTGTGTGTGTTTTCAGACAGGGTCTTAATCTGTAACCCAGGCTGGCCTTGAGTGTGTGGCAATCCTCCTGCCTCAGCCTCTCAAGCACTGGGATTGCAGGTGTGCACCACCACACCCAGCAAGCCAGTGCCTTCCTACATGTTCTACTTCTGGCTGGGGAACAGGGCAGAAGGAGAGAGAGCGGGGGACCTGGGGCATCAGGGAGTCTTTCTCCCAGGTGGAGGATGGCTTGTGCATGGTTAAACGCTGAGGTGAACTGAGCCGAGGTGGTAACATTGGGCTGTTTTCCATGGCCCTGAAACCCTGCTCCATGGTCTTGTGGATTTGCAAGACTCAATTGGCGTCCCCTTGCTTTCACTGCTCATTCTAGGGCAGTGGAGAATTTGACTTAAAGACGAAGGAGTGGCTTCCTGCATCTGGAAGGAGTTCAGGTGCCTTTCTGGCTCGGGGAGCTGTTGCAGTGAATGCCGGTGGGGCAGTTCAGGGGGACAGCGCTGCTCAGAGCTCTGAGTTCTACCTGTTTTTCATTGCAACAAGTAGAGTTCTGTTTGGTGGCGATCTTGTGAGACCCCCTGTAAAAGCTAGCACAGCATTCACGGCTCTGTCAGCTCTGCTAAAAATAAAATACGGCCGCTGCCTCCGTTGTGTTTAGATCGACTGTCACATTCTGTATTTAGAAAGAAGATTCCAGAAAAAGAAACTGCTGAAACCTGAGAGGGAAGAAGAAGATGACTGGTGTAGTCTATAATTTGAAGGTTAGATATAATTTTTAATTACATTTCTTCCTGTCTGGGTGGTCTAAATCTTAAAAAAAATTTTTTTTTTGAGAGAAATTTAACATGCACGCCTCTTGTTTTTGGAGGAGTCTGCACAGACTCTTGGTCTAGCACTTCTCCCAGAGTATTATAATGAACTGAATTTGTGTCAGCCTCTTTGGTTCCCAGCCTCTTGTAGACAGGGGTTGCTGACTTGGCAGAGACTTGGTCCCTGGCTAGGACTGCAGCCTGTTAGAGCTCATGAAGTGTCCCTGGAGTCGAATTAAATTTGAAGTCGGCAGAAAACTTGCCACTTAGCTCCAGGGCCTAAGTAATGATTTTTCTCCCCGTATGGCAGTGCATTTGCACCTGCTACTTAACAGCCAGCTTGGCGGTTTCCCTTTAAGTGGCAAATCAAAGCCTTTTCGGGGCCTGTGACCTGCTGGGTTTCTCCGAAGGAGCTCTCTGCCTGTCCTCGGGGCTGGGATGTCGGGATCAATGTCAGGAGATGTTTTCCGGAGGAAAGAAGGGGAAATAAAGCTGCCCACTTGGCAGTGGTTAGGAATGCAAGCGGCGGGACTTTGTAGACAGCATTTGAAATGCTGATTGGGTCAGAAGCAGAGAGACGAGAAAAAGGAGGGCACTTTTGCAGTTTGCAGGGACCCTGGCAGGGGCCTGAGGGAACAGGACTCAGGTGCTCTTGAACCTCTGGTGCCGCACAGGGCTCTGGGCCGTGCACCCCTTCGTCCCTGTGTTTGGGAACTGCCCGCTCACTCCTGTCTCAGCGTTGGCCTCCCTCTCCCTGCCTCAGAGCTCCCCTCCCACATTTCCTTTCTTAAGAACCTCCACCCCCACCCCTGCGTGGTCCCTGCCCATCCCGGCTGGCCTGGCATGCAGCCCCCTCCTTCGCAGCCCTGTCTGTCCTGGGAGATGATGCGCTCCTTGCCTGTTCGCTTCTGCTGTCTCTTTCCCCAAAGTGAAGATGTCTCAATCAGGAGGGGCTGGGTCCCCTGAGCTTGGGACTGTGCCTGGCTCAGAGCGGGACTCAGGAGGTGGGGACCGACACACGCATCCATCCCCTTGTGAGAGCCCTGTGCTGGGTGCCTCAGGATGTGGCTGTATTGGACACAGGGCTCTGGGAGGTGATTATGTTAAAGTGGGGTTTCGAGATGGCCCTGAGACACGCGGTGTCTTTAGAAGAAGGGTCAGGACACAGATGCACTCAGCGGGTGTTCAGACGACTATTAGGGACACAGGGACAAGATGCCATCTACCAGCAGGGAGAGAGGCCCCGGAGGGGATGGTGCTGCCCACACGCTGGTCTCTGGAACTGTGAGCCGATGGGCTTGTCACGTGGTTGCTGCTCAAGAGGTGCCGGGGAGGACGGTGGGAGGACTCCAGGAGTCCCAGCCAGCCTGGCTGCATAGCAAGACCCCTCCTCGAAAAGCACATTTGTTGTTTTAGCCACATCGCCTGTGACAGTTGGCTGTGGCCACTCTAGAAAGCTGCAAGGACCTTGTAATGGAAAGCAGTAAAAGAGCCTTTAAAGCCAGCATTTGCTAATTCAGAGGTTTCTAAAACCTCCCCAGTCCTTTTCCTGGGGTTCATTGTGTTCTGACATCTGTTTGGGGCTTTGAGGAGTGTGGGGTTTTGATCTGGGAACAGCTTGACTTGTTGGGGCCACTACTGGGCAGGTGTGCAATTCACAGGGGTCTTACTTGGACTTTGGGGTTTCTCTTAGGGATTTCCCTGTGGGGTTGGAGGTCTGACAAATATCATTAGCATGGAAGGAAAGGCATCACCAAGACCTTCTTACTTTCCAGAGTCTCTCTCTGGAGGTGTATCCTTCTTGGGTCGGAGATGACTCATCCATTGAAATTCTCCTGGGCACAGGGAATCCTGTAGCCCCTCTGGATTCTCAGGGGAGCACACACTGTCTTCCTTGTTTAGATGTAGAAGGTGCTGGTTTGAACTTGTGTGATGGTTAAGTTTCACTGTAAACCTGATTGGCTTGGGAGCTGCCCGGGGAGTTAGTGAAGCACACTTCTGGGTGCGTGGGTGGGTCATGGAGATGAGGCTGGTACCCCACCCTTTCCTCTCTGGTGCTTTTGCCCAGCTCTGCCTCCCAGTTGCCGTGAACTAAGTGGCTTTGCCCCGCCACTCCCTTCCATCACGATGGTCCTGCATTTGAACCAGGCAACCATGGACTGAACCCTTCAAAATCGTGCTCCAAGTTAAACCTCTCCTCCTTCAACTGTGGGTGCTGGGTTCCAGCAATGAAAAAGCTGAGCGATACAACTAGCTAACAGCCAGTCTCTTGAGTCTGGGTGTTTCCTACCGAGGTTCAAGTCCCCCAGTGGGCTGGTGGAAGGAGGTCTCACAGGGCCCCTCAGGTTTCAGCCGAGTCTTCCTGGAGCACCTGCCTTTGCAGAGCAGGCTTTCTTAGCAGAGGTGCTTCTACTTGGCAATCCGTGCACTGATCAGTCTGCACCCTTGGTGCCTGTTGCTAATTGCAATTACGTGCTGTTAAAGAAAATGGATAGAAGGAAAAGGAGACCATGTATGGCTTGAATGAGAAATGAGAAAGAGTGGCTATTTCTAATGCTGCATACAGAAGAAGCTCAATTTTGGCAGCTCCACGCTGCAGAAAAATGCCGAGAGTTAAATCTCATTTTGTAGCAGGGCTTCATTGCACAGCTGAGATCCATAAGATCAGATATAACATTTCCATCCCTGAGCAGATTACTAAAGCCCCTAATAGGATTTTCTGACCATGAGAACCACAGTCCAAGCCACAGAAAGGTTTTATTTATTTGCCATCTGTATGTAGATTTTGCTATTACGGAAATTGTGTCAGGAATTGTACTGTAACTAGATAGCACACAATGTACTGTAATACTTGAGCTAAGGTACCAAAAAAAAAAAAAAAAAAGCCGTATCGGTGCGCGAATGTGCACACGAATAATGCCGTGCTTTGTTGCTCTGTGTGAGACTCAGCTTGGATCTAATCTGTGATCGAAGCTCATTTGAATACGCAGCCCTCAGCAATGGGGGCAAAAGGGCTGCACTTCTTAGCTCTCAGGACGCAGCACCAGTCAGCCGTTCAGTAACTCCCCAGGTGACCAGCGGGTTCATTTTATGGTTAAATGCACGTTTCTGCAGTTAATTACAGCCAGTCGTGGCTCAGAGCAGCGATTTTCAATGCTTTCTACCCTGAGGGAAAGCGACCGACTTGGGGAAATCCATCCAGAACGGGGTGTGTGCGATGGCGGCCCTGTTACGCAATGAGCGTCCTGGACCGATGCCCACGTAGCAGACAAGACCGGGTAGAAGGGTTGACGTGCCAAGGCTGTGTCTCCATGGCAACGCGACTGGAGACCAGCGGACGAGGTGGACTGGCGTTGGTGAGACGCGCACACCCTCTATTCCCGGGAGTTGTGAGCTTTGTGCAGTCGGCTTCTCTCTCAAAGTTACCCGTTTCTGGAGTGATTTCTGCCTCTGGACCCTCTGAGAGACCGCCCGAGGCCGGTCTGCGCTCGCTCTTCCGGAAGCGTCACCGGGGGAAAAGGGCCGGGGCTTTCCGGTGCCAGGCAGAGGGGGACACTGGTGACCGGCCCTGGGAGCGTGGGTCCCTTCGGCCTCCTCTTCCGCCCTGGTTCAGTCGGTCCGCCTCTGTCTGAGCCCCTAACCGCCTGCTAATCCTATCAGGGGCTTTGCTTTGTTTTAAACCAGAGCCACAGCCCAGTCTGGGAGCCCTGGCTAGAATTCAGTAACATTGCTATGTTTTTATTGTACTCTGCTCAGGTGTTTTTCTTCCTTTATGGAAAGTGAGAGTGCCTTTATTTCCCTCCCAGCGCTGACATGTGGCTTCCTCTTTAGGTAAATCCATGTAAACGCCATGAACAGATTTAAAAGGGAAAATTAAGTAAGTAATAATACAGATGGTGTCTGTCTGGGGTAAAGAAGGCAAATGGGGTGGCAGAGTGGCGGGGTGCTGAAGGCTGGGGACTCTGTCCCCCACGTGGGATGGGCGCCTGGCTCGATGGAGGTCGCTGTGTCCCCCACTCGGCGGCTGTTCCTGGTGGCGAGGGCCGTGCCGGGGGGCTGTTCTTGTCCGTCTGTCCCTCTCTGCTGTGGCCTGACATGTAGGAGTGACACTCTGGGCCGAGGAGGCTTTTGAAGGGAGTGAGTTTGTCCCCTGCCCTGGGCCAGGGGCAGCAGGATCGTCAGGGGACCCATGGAGGGAGCGTGCCCCCAGGGCCGCTCATGTGTGCCCGCCGGCCGCTGCCCATGCCCCTGCCGTTTGATAGGTAGGGGGATTCATCGGCTGTTCTCCCAAGGGTCCCGTGTACCTTAGCTTGGGTCTTAAAAGGGAGACACTTCTCAGAGCTGGCCGAGGCAGGAGGAAACCAACTTGTACACAGATTGTTATTAGTGCTTGGGCATTACGAAGCACATAAGGAGGACGCTCCTTCTGCGAAGTTCTTACAAGCACACGGTGTAGCTCAACTCTGCATCCCCCGTCCTTCCCGTCCCTTCCCCTGCCCCATCTCTCAGTCCCCTTCCGCTCCATGAAAGATCGGTCTTCCTGTTTCTTGTTGTCTGTCTTTTAGTTTGCTCTTTAATTTATTTATATTTTGGATTTCTCATATAAGAGAAACCATGTGATATTTAAACTCGCGTGTCCGGTTTATTTCACTTTAACATTATGGTCCCAAGCGACATCCATTTTCCTACAAACAGTACAAATTTATCCTCTTTCCCCATGCACTAAACTAAAATCAAAATTGGTCAAAGGCTAAATGTGAACACTGAACCTGCTGGAAGACAAAACTAGGTAAAACTCTGGAAGTCATGGGTGTAGGCAAAGACTTTCTGAACAGAACACCAATTTTGTAAGAAATAACATCAAGAATCAAAAAGTGGGGGCCAGGGATTTAGCTCAGTGGTTCCTCCACCTGCCTCACAAGTGCAAGGACCTGAGTTCGATCCCCGGTACCAAAAAAAGAAAAGGAATCAACAAGTGGGCTCATATCAAATCAAAAACCTTCTGCACAGCAAAGGAAACCATCCACAGAGTGAAGAGAACCTACAGAATGGGAAAAGTTTTGCCAGCTTCTCAGACAAGGGACTGAAATATAGAACAGGTAAAGTACTGCGTATATACTTGCTCATTTGGTGACCAAACCACTTGACGATCTAGTGTGGAAGTGTCCGCACTCAATTAGCGCCCCCCGCCGAAAAAAGACCCAGTCAAAATTGGGCAACCGAAATGGACAGCATTTCTGAGGAGAAGAAGAAGTAGGAAGGGCCATTACCTTGGAGGTTGAGGGCCAGCTGACCCAGAGTGAGATAGGGAGGAGGCTGGGAGGGTTTGGATTATGGTAACACTGGGGGCACAGGTGGAGGCAGAGAGGGGCTGGGCAGGGCTGTGTGGGGGACGGTGGCCGGCAGGTGGGCCAGGCTCAGAATGGCTAAGTCCTGTGCCCTGTGCCTCGGTCTCCCTTAATTAAGATACGGTTAATGAAATACCGTCCAAAGGGCCGCAGTGAGGCGTACGCAGATATGAATATCTCAGAACGGGGCCTGGTATGTGAAAAACCACGCTGAGAATTCCAGGTGGATCCAGGGTGATCGCAGGGGTCCTTCACGGGAGGAAGGAGGCACAAGTCCAGGGCTGGAGGAGAGGAGTCCAATCTATGCTGCTGGCTTTGGAGATGGAGTTGCACTCCACGAGCCGGGGTTCCCAGGTGGCCTCTGGGAGCTGGACAAGGGGAGGACACTGTCTGCTTCCCTCCCTGGCTCCAGAGATGATTTTTTTTTCAAATATAAATTTATTTGGATGGTGCATTGACAAGTTTGCATGTGGCAGAAGTCCCTCACGGCACAAGACTATCCAGAGGCTACACGACTGCAGGACAAGTGGTCGAGGTTATGCCTGGAGGGTAGCAAGAAAGGGGGAGTGGATTACAGGTTCAGGTAATGTCACTCAGTCGCAAGACAGAGTCTCTGTGTCAGAGATCTTCAAAGGACAGCATCAGCATTGAGTATGCTCAGCCCTGGGGATTACCTCACCTATGCATAGCACATACTGAGCATAGTTTCACAAGGTATGAAAAGCAGCTGAGCTGCAATGGCCTGAAATATGCTCATTGGGGCTATGCTTAAAACAACTGAATACATCAAAATTTGAGTTTGACACTGATGGTCTTTCCAATTAATTTGGATCAGCCTGCAACTAAAAAAAAATGTTTCAAAAAAAATCTTTAGGACTAATATGCAGTGGCTAACTTTAGCTCACTTATCTATCATACTAAATATCTGCTAATATATTCTTCTCTACAATTTTACTGTAGCTAAAAGTGTACGTAGTACATTTCAGATTCTTTCAGTCTACTGTGCATTTTCTGTGCTCTAACTCCATGTCCCCTAGGAACCCATCTTCACATCAGCATGAATCTACACATGCATTCTCTTGGACCATGTATGTTATATATGTGTGTATTCACATGTACAGCAAAAGCTTCTGTTGTTACTTCAAAGTGGCAACATGGAAATTACACAGCCAGGAGCATTTCTGTAGCTAGAGTTAAAGAATTATGAGAGCCTTATGGCCACATGCTCGTCATCTGTCTCCTACCAAATGGCAGCTTATTTCCCATGGCACTAACAAGGGACTAACATGGTGCTTGCATGCTCCTGTTCAGACCTGACTGAGCTGCACACAGGCCAGATCACTGAAAAGAAAATGAATCCCATTCTTTCCAGAAGCAGCAGTCCACAAGTCATTCAGGCACAGTGAGCGGGGGGTTATTCAACATGGCCCCAAGAAATACTCTGGCAATCTTGTGAGCCTGAGCTCTAAAGAACCACAATAAAGGCCATTCGAGGCAAAGACCAAGGCCTAAAGCAGGTGTTTCACAATGAGAAAAGTGCTGCCGTGCATCCCTGGAGATGATTTTTCATTGTGTATGATGCAAGAACATTTCTAGGTGCTGCCATTCCAGGGAGACAGGCGTGGACCTGAGTCCGGAGAGATGAAGGCTGTTTAGGTCCCAACACAACTGAAAAGGCAAAGCGTTTGAACTCTTGTTTTGCTCCTGTCTTCCTGATGGAGGACTTATCCTCGACTTGGAAAGGACAGAGGCAGTGGTAAGGGATAAAAGTGCAGGTGAGACTAGTGTCTTCATTGCCCAGGGCTGCTGGGCAGTCACATCATCATCATCATCATCATCAATCATCACAACAACAGGAGTGGAGTCTGAAGTTGGTGTGCGCACAGCTGGTTCCTTCTGGGGACTCTGCGGGACACTGCGTCTCATGTCTCTTCCAGCTGTGTCCCATGTCTGATGGCTCCTTGGCTTGAGGCTGCAAGAGCCTGGGCTCTCTGTCTTTACACAGTCTTCGTCTTCTCCCTTGCTGTCTCGTGAGTGCACTGGTCCCTGGGTTTAGGGCCCCATCCGAGGCACAGCAATTGGAGTGGAGCACATGCTGGTGCCTTGTTCTCACCTGAGAGCCACGAGCTCCTCTTCCTCTGCCCTGTCTGCCCTGGAGAGACTCCCAGGTCCCTGCCACAGATGACTCCATGGGTGGCACTGGCAGAAGACTGGAGGGCAGAGGATGGGGACAGCCAGGGTGTTCCTCACCCCTGTGCAGCTGCTGCACCCGTCCTGCCTGATGAGCTCTCTGCGGTTCGGCCACTCTGCATACAGCCCTGCTTGCTGGCTCTGAGAACATTAATGAACTTCCTCCTGCCCTCTGGCCTTGGCTTTCTGGCAGCTTCCTGGTGTGCCAGTTGGAATCAGGCATCTTCTCAGAGGCACACAGCAGCGTAGCTCCTTCCCTGGAGGAAATGTCCTCCATGTTAGAAGCTCGGAGTTGATTCTGTTCTCCTGCTCAGACTCTTAAGGGTTCCAGAGACACAGCTGAGCAAGGAGCCCCTGGTGTTGTGTGTGGCCACTGTGTGCACTGGTATGGAAGACTGGGGCTTCCAGAACCCCATCCTGGCTTGAGAAGTGGCAAGCAGGTGCTCCTCAGAGCCTTTTGGTAGAGATGGTGGTGTTTTCCACAGCCCCGTGCTTTTGACAACTGCAGATAAATGCAGTTCTCTTGTAGCAGCTTGATTCTCCCTTCAGATGGCATTTTTCTCTTTTATCTGAGCTTGCTCTCATCTCACCGAGTGGGACAATGAGACCACCTGTGTGGGAGAAAATCATCTGTCAGATTTGTAGTGTGAAGCCCCTGGGGGAGCAGCTGCGGGGCTGTGGTGCTGTAGTGGAGGGAGAGCTGGCTGCACAGGCCACTGATGGCTCTCGTGTTACCGAAATTGATGCTTCCTGGAGCTCTGTCTCTCACGGACCACCCGTGTGATTGCTGCCCACACCTACACCCCACCCAGACTCTCCTCCACTGCTCGTTTCATTTCAATGGATACACATTTTTAGCCAATGAATTTATCTTGAAATTATACACTACACTCTAAGGAGAAAAATCAATCTCTCAACTTTCTAGTTGTATTTTTTCCCTGGCACGCACTGAAAGAAATGTGTGGCACTGGGGCTGTAGTTCCATAGTGGAGCATTTGACTAGCCTGTGCCAGGCCCTGGGTTCAGTCCCCAGCTTTGCAAAAGGAAATAAATTAGTGAAATAAATGTGTAGCCATTGCAGTAATGGGTTTGTCAGTGCTACGGCTGTGTCTAGCTGTCCCTCCAAGGCCTCATGCAGTCAGTCATAGGTGGGGCTTTTTCCCAGGTGGATGAATAGTGTGACTTAGTGCAGTGCCAGGATTAATGGTGCTAAGATTAGAAGTGTAATGCTGGGATTAAGGGTGAATGATTACTAAATCAGTCCACTGATTGTCTTGGCACTGCTAATCCTGGTAGCCTGGATGGCACATCAAATGGGCAGAAAAAAGCCACTAAGGCCCTTGCTTGCTTTACTGTCTTCTACCAGCCAAGCACTGTTTCTCCTTTGTGATGCTACCCTGCCTTGGAGCCAGCTGCCTATGGATTGAAACCTCTACACACTGTGAGCTAAATAGAGCTTTTCTTCCTTAACTTTGGGCATCAAGTATTTTGTCTCAGCAATGAGAACAGTAACTAAGACAATTTGGTACCAGGAGTGGGGTAGTGCCAAGGCTTTCAGTTGATTCAGCTCATTGTAGAACTCTTAACCTCAGCAAATGAACTGTGAGCATTTCTCCCTTCCATCAATACTGTTTCTTCTGCAAGTTCACATCACTAACACTGCCGCTCAGTTAGTATTTCAATTTAAGTCAGCTTATATTTTTTTACTGAAGCAAATTCATCAAAACCAGACTTCATTGCTTTTTTTTTTTTTTTTCAGTACTGGTGATCAAAGTCAGCAGACTTCACTGCTTTTGAAAATGGAAACTAGTATTACTTACAGTGAATAAAAGGCAACTGTTAAATATATGCACAATAAATAAACTACACAAAAGCCAGCCAGTGTTGTTTATATTCAGGCTTGGCAGGTGAAGGCTCTACAGTGCCTAGGTTTTGAGGCTCATTAATTCTTTTAGTTCAAAGGGGAAATTTGCAAGTGTCAGAGAAGTTAAAGTCAGTAGCATTCAGTTGCACTTTTCCATCTGATTTAATCAAATTATTGAAAAAGATTAGAAACTCTTTCTCTCTTACTTGATACTATTTAGTATTATATCCTTGCATAGCACCTCAGATTTTCTTCTGTGCCCCAGGTTATCTTTCCCACATTTTAAAGGCACTGCTTTCTCCCACTGAAGCCATTTTCCCTTACTTAAAATTTTTTTCAAATTTTATTTTAATCGATTTCTATAATTATATATGTTTATTAAGTACAATGGGATGTTTTGATATGTGTTTACAATATGGAATGATTAAATCAGGCTCATTAGCCTAATTAACAAATCTATCACCTCACATACTTTCATATTTGTTCTGTGTGGTGAAAACATCTAAAATCTGTTTAGTAATTTTTTTTAGTAATCTTGAAATGTGCATTATTGCATTTCCATTTATTATAGGCACAGTTCTGTGCAGTAGACCAGTGGGAGCTTCCCCTCTTGTCTGGTGAAACTGTTTGCATTGACCTGTGTCTCCCCTGCCCCACATGTCCTTCCCTGGGCCCTGGAAACTGCCACTCAGCTCTCAGCTGTGTGAGCTGAACCATTTTAGGTGCCATGTGTGACAGATCCCACGGTATTTGTCTCTGACTGTAACTTATTTCTTCTTTTTAAATTTTATTTTCAGTTAAAAAAAAAGTCTCTGTTTCTTCTTGACAACATCAGATGGGTTGAGATACTGCATGTGGAGTCATGATTCGGGGAGGAGGGGACCTGCCCCTGTCTTTCACTTGCTTGGTCTTGGCCTGGGGCTGCAGCAGGACCTCACTTACTGTTTGTTTCATGTCATGTCCAGGACAGGACATGGGTGTGCTATGTGGAGGCACCTTGGAACTCTTTGCTGCAGCTGATGCATGATGTATCTTGGACTTTCTGGCCAGGGAGGCTTTTTATCCATATGAAATCCAGAATGTTTTAGGTCACAGGAGAACAGGTGCTGGTAAAGTTTGTGTTGGATCCTTTGTTGAGCTTGGATTTCCCAGGGAAAGATGGCTTTATTACTGTGACTTTCCAGTTCTTTATAATGGAATTGGCCACTGAAAGTAGGGCCAATTGATCTCAATGTAGTTCTAATAAATGGCAAGGCCATAATATATATATATATATGGATCATATATATATATATATATATATTGATATGAGGGGTCGAACTCAGGACCTTGTGCTTGCAAGGCAGGTGGCAGCACCACTAAGCTAAATCTTCGGCCCCATAACATCATTTTTTATTTTTGAGACAGTGTCTCATTATGTAGTTGAAGCTGACCTGGAACTCACTATGTAGCCCAGGCTTGTTTTGAACTCATAGAGATCTTCCTGCCTCAGCTTTCTGAGTGTTGGGATTATAGGCATGTGCCACCATGCCCAACATATCATATTTTTAATTTAAACCCTGAGAGGAAGATCAGTATCATATACTGTTGCATTTTTGGGAGATTCATTAACTTATTTTAATAAAGTTGTGAATATTTTGCTTTTTCAGGCATTGCTTTGGAAAAAGATGTGGTTCTCTGATCTCAAGAAACTTGTATGCTGTTAGATTCGTGGTGCATTCATTGGTGTCTTGGGGGTTTACAGTGCTTTTATTTTCTGAACCAGATGGGTGCTGACATATTTGTTAATTCTGAGCGGATCAAGGGTCCAGATGAACCCATAGTGGGAAGAAAGTTAGGCCAGGTGGCTGTTAAGGAGGAAGAAGCCAGGCCAAAGATGGTCTGGATTTGGGGCAACACTGGGGCCATTGTGTTTTGAATCAGGAAGTGGCATATGGAGAGGGTGTTGCAGCAATGTCAGCGAATGAAAGGATGCCCAGCACACATGTAAAAATGAGCAGATTCTTCTTGCACCAAGGAGTGATCTGGCTAAGGTCAGCTGTGTTTGAAATCAGTGGAAAGCAATGACCCATGGTTTCTTTGGCTTTTGTTCCTTCTGTATCTTCAGTGGCTGTTTCAGAAGTGATGGGCTACACTTGAGGGGTCTGAGGTACAAGGCAGACGTCATTTCAGAAGGGCAGTCTGAAGACTCCTGGTGTGGGTGTCCAGAGAGAGGTGTCTTCTCTCCAAACAATGTGCCCTGCCTTTCTCCCAACATGGGGAAGTCACTCTTCACAGGAGGGTTAGGGAATTTGTTTTCTTCTCTGCTGTTTATCACATACTTGATCCAGGAGGCTGCTGCTGGAAGCAATCCCTGGCCTCTTCCAAACCAGAGAAGGAGCTCTCAGCAGCTGCATGTCACGTTGTACCTAGGCTGCGGCTCCTTCTGTCCTGCAGGGGCAGAAGGTCTGACGCTCTGGAGCTCCTCAGTGGGAGGCCTCTCCCACGGGCTTCTGTTCCCTCATCATCCTGACAACTCTCCCCCAGGACAGCACTCTCCAGGCACACAACCTCCAAAGGCTAGCTTGACACAGACACTTTAATCATTGGCAGTGAGGAACACATGTGTACACACACACACACACACACACACACACACACACACACACACGGTTCTATAGTAAGCCCGTTTGTTTGTTTGTTTGTTTGTTTATTTATTTGAGACGGTCTCACTGTGTAGTTGAGACTGACCTGGAGCTCACTATGTAGCCCAGGCTGGTCTCAAACTCGCAGCGATCCTCCTGCCTCAGCCTCCCGAGTGTTGGGATTACAGGCATGCGCCACCATGCCTGTCCTTGTAAGCCTGTTTTATTCCTGCTGTGAAAAATGACCCAGTGCATCTCTTACAGTTGAAAGGAGCAAGAGTAACACAGTTAGTTACCGCTGCATATCAAGTCACCCCAGAATTTAGCAACCCAAGAATTATGTTTGTTATGGCTTGTGTTTAGTTCTCCCCCCAAAGCCTCATAGGTGGGGCTTTTTTAGAGGTGGCTGAATCTAGAGTGTGTGATTTATTCATGGTGCAGTGCTAGGATTAAGCGTGTGTGATTACTAAATCAGTCCATTGTGGCCCCGCCCTATAAGATGAGAGACAGAAAAAGGCTTCTCTTGTCTCTTGCTTGCTTTCCTGCCTTCTGTCTGCCATGGACTGTTTCTCCTCTGACGGACTGAAACCTCTGCAAACTGTGAGCCAGATAGACCTTTCCCCCTTTAACTCTGAGTGTTGGGTATTTTGTCTCAGCAATGAGAGAGAAGTAACTAAGACAACATTTATCCGCTTCAAGTCTCAGCATCCAGGGCTTGTGAAGATTTGCTGTGTGGTTCTGGCTGGGGTCGCCCATGGGGGCAGCACCTCAGATTGGGGTGTTAGATTACCACAGTCTACCTGCTTGGCCACTCACCTGTATTGCACCTGCCCTGTCCCTGGAGACCCTCTGTTTCCTCCCAGAGGTCTGAGTGAGGGGTCACAGGTCGCCCTCTGGGCCTCCTTGTCCCAAGCCAGGTGAGGAAGCAGCAGAGCCCACGCCCTGCTCCCCCCAGCCGGAGGGGCCACGGAAGCCACTGTGAGGGCGTCTCAGGGACAGCGTGAATGGGTGGATGCTCTGTTTACTTTCTCCTCCCTCCTCAGCTGGGTCAATTTGCAGAACCCCAGAGCCAGCCTGTGCCCCCTGTCCCCACCGGAGAGCAGGAGACTGCAGGAAGGGTCTCTTCCACATTAAAAAACCCAGCCTGGCCAGATAGGGCCCAGAGCGCAAATGAATTTGACTCATATTTGCTGGATGTGACCTGGAGGTAAAGGAAACGTTTCCCACATTTGTGGGCTGAGAGACAAACCTGTTGCCTGCTGCTTGCTGTGACAGACACCTGAGCTGAATCAACTCAGAGAATTTTTAATGCAGCTCATGGTATTGGAGACCAGGTGTGTCGGGGCGAGGCGAGCGGCAGCTCTGAGCTGTTCCCTTATGGGCAGGGACAAAGGAGCGGAAGAACAGGCCGGGTCCCCTTGTGCTCTTCCAGGCCACGCCCCCGGGCCCTGCAGCCCCCCTGGGCCCTGCCTCTTGGAGGTCTGACCGCCTCTCAGGGGGTCCAAGCTGGGGCCAGGGCTTTACCCCATATGCACTGGGGGTGATTCAGGATCCAGACCAGAGCAGAAGGAGGCTAAGATAAGTGACAGAATTGAGTGAGCACTGTGCGGAGAGCTTGTGTAGAGGTGCAAAGAGACTAAAACAAGCAGCGGGAGGTTATACGGAGAAAGGGGCAAAACTTGACCAAGAGCCCAGACCTTAGCTGCCTTTTGGGAACCTTTGGGAGGGCCCTCGGGGCAGGTTGGCGCACCCCGCCTGGGCGTCAGCCAAGGGGACGCAAAGTGCACCTGGCCACAGCTGGCCTGGCCTTGGCGGGGAGGAGCCGTGGCTGGGGCTCCAGGACCCCAGACCCGCGGCGGCCCTGCGTCTGCACATGCCTGTGACTGGGGCTGTGGGTCCTTCTTCTGTAGCAGCGGCACATCGTTCTGTGAGGGACAGAGGGGATAACACAAGAGAAAGTCCTTGCCAGTGCACGGTAGTGGCGCCTCCTGGCGCCCTTAATGCTGGTCCCACAGAGGGGTCTGGCTGGCAGGCCAGACTTGGTCCTGGCGACCCCGAAGTCAGCTGACAGTTCCTCTGCTACCCAGCCTGCCTCGGGTGCAAATTTGTGCCGCGGGTCCGGCACCAGCGTGGACCACGGGGCCTGCAGGGACAGAGCGGGGAGGCCCACACACATTCAGAACACACATCGGTAATTATTTCATGCTAGCTGCGATAAGTGCTGAGAAGAAAAATAGAGCTGCAATGAGAGAAGCGGCTCACCTGGTCTGGGGAGGCTTCCTCGAGTGCGATGGAGGAACAGATGGACAGACGGAACGACCCAGATGGAGGGGAGTCGGGGAGATCTGA